AATACCACTACTCTGATTTATTAAAAAAATACCTTTTTCTTTCTCTTTCTCTCTATCTCTCTCTACATATTTCTCTCTCTCTCTTTCTCTCTCTCTCTCTCCATATTTCTCTCTCTCTTTTTTTCTTTTTTCTCTCTCTCTCTCTCTCTAACTCTAACTCTTTCTGTGTACGTGTGTGCGAACGCAAGTTATTAGTATGTACGTGTCCAAGCGTTATAAATATGCTCACCAATTTGGTTAGTTGCACTTTACTGTTGAATTAATTGCTTTTAATTTATGTACATGTGAATCGATGAATGAATGAATGCTTCTAGAAACAGGACAAATGAGTATAAGCATTTATAAGCAAATGTTCACTCTATTAATTTACATATATTTGTGTGTGGTATGTGTGTGTGTGAGTGTGTGAGTGTGGTGTGTGTGTGTGTGTGTGTGTGTGTGTGTGTGTGTGTGTGTAAATACAGAAAGACGTTGAAATATTTGGAGTGCTATTTTAATAACTAAAGTAGAGACCGTAACGAAAGTCAATCCTGACAGGGCTCACCTGATTGCATTTACTTGAGATGAACGAGGCGTTGGTTGGTTTGATGGAATGTTCCTAGTAAAGATACTAGATGACCAAAATTATCAAATTAGTGTCTGTCTTACTGTCTGTCTGTCTGTCTGTTTGTCTGTCTGATTGTCTTTCTGTCTGTCTCTTCGTATGTCTGTCTTTATTCGTAGCGGTTTGACTGCTTTTACGTATGCCAGATTTTCAAATATTGACTTGATGTTTTAATGACATATGGTAATTTTGTTTTTACCTTGCATGTTCGATTTTCTAATAATTCTCATAGATAGAAACAAATTTGTAAAGGTACATCATATTTATTCACAAAGGGCAGTTTAAGATTGACTTGTACTTTGCGTTAAAGGTGCTTGGAAAAAAATTTGTCAGGAATATTTTGAAAATCTCACAAAATTGACACCAGCAACTGATTTTAAGAACCATTCTAGTTAAATTTCAGAGAACTTAAATTTAAACTTCGTACCTCCTATATATCTAATCTATATATCTATATATATATCCAGTATTTGAACGTATTTGAATTTATCCGATACCAATCACTGGCAAAAAACATCCGTATTTCGGCAAACCACTGCAACTGTGCGTTCCCAAGTCAATCGTAATTTTTAATTTAAATGTTATTTTGTATTGTTGACTAACTAATGAAATTTTATATTCATTACCCCCCAATACTTTTTTCATATTACTACTAAGCCAATTTTTTAATAATCGCTTTGAAATTTTTGGTAACCTCTTTCTCTAGCCATTAAAAGAGATACATATCACAAACAAATATATTTAAACATATAAGTACACCCACAAACAAAGGCATAAACACACACACCACACACTGACTTACATATCAAAGGACTGACATGGAACAAATCAGGAAATGAAAAGTGTCTTTCTCCTCCCATAGCAACAATTAAACATGCTCTCTCAATGGATCCTTGTATATTTGCCATGAATTTTTTACTCACTCATTCATTTACTCATTAGTTCTTTCATTCTTTTATTCATACACTCATTCATTCTTTTTCATCTAGTTTTTTTCCTTCATTCATCTTCAGACATTGGATTTTGCTGTTTCAATGGAAAGATTAATGAAGCGAATGAATGAACAAACAAGATTGAATGAAAGGTCAGGTAAATAAATAAACCGACAAAACGAACATAAAAAAGCGATTTAATACAATTAAGTAAAGTAAACATACAAAAAGTAAAGACAAATAGACAAATAGACAGACAGACAAACTAACAAACAAACAGACAGACAAACAAATTTACACAGCAGTAGACAAAAATCAGAGAGCATATTTAAGAGTTAATTTTAAATTAAGTCGCCGAAATTTGCAGACGAGTTTCTTCTGTACTGGAAACTAATTGATTTCAATCCCTTTAATAATTAAAATGTAGCTTTTAGGTTAGATTACTAAAGAAACTGCAAAAAAACAAGAAATGTAAAAATACATGTGCACTCACATACACGCACACAATCTCATCCACATTAACACACATACACTGATTAACGCATACATTAAAAACGACAAAATTCACGCAAATGTATTGTTTTGTTGTGTACATAATCTTTGTTAAATGTGTGTGCGTGTGTGGTGTGTGTGTGTGTGTGCGTGTGTGGTGTGTGTGTGGTGCGTGTGTGTTTGTGTGCGTGTGTGTGTGTGTGTCTTATACATCGTAAAGAAAATTTCACGATGACTGTCCATCCATCAAACTATATATTTATTCTTGTCAATTTCGACATCGCAACCATAGGACATGACGACATTTTGTAAAAGTTCGTTCATTCAGAGCAGTCAGTCAGTCAGTCAGTCAGTCAGTCAGTCAGTCAGTCAGTCAGTCAGTCAGTCAGTCAGTCAGTCAGTCAGTCAGTCAGTCAGTCAGTCAGTCAGTCAGTCAGTCAGTCAGTCAGTCAGTCAGTCAGTCAGTCAGTCAGTCAGTCAGTCAGTCAGTCAGTCAGTCAGTCAGTCAGTCAGTCAGTCAGTCAGTCAGTCAGTCAGTCAGTCAGTCAGTCAGTCAGTCAGTCAGTCAGTCAGTCAGTCAGTCAGTCAGTCAGTCAGTCAGTCAGTCAGTCAGTCAGTCAGTCAGTCAGTCAGTCAGTCAGTCAGTCAGTCAGTCAGTCAGTCAGTCAGTCAGTCAGTCAGTCAGTCAGTCAGTCAGTCAGTCAGTCAGTCAGTCAGTCAGTCAGTCAGTCAGTCAGTCAGCCAGCCAGTTAGTTTTGTTAGTTAGTCAGTTAGTGCATGACAAACCAGAGAATTAAGTAACAATAGGCAACTAACGCATTACAAACAGGCAACAATTATAATTATATATTAAATTCCTATGACTCAAATGTTAATTTTATTATAATTAGCGCTGTTTGATTATACATAAAAGATTATATTATTTATAACAGGCGATACGTAACAATTCTTGTTTAATTTAAGCAACATGGGTCAAATAAATTCGTAAATAAATTCGCTCCAAAAAAGCAAATTAAGTCGATCGGACAGTTGAGTGCACACCAAAATGAGCAATAAACAAAACAAACGGGCAAAGATTTCTAACCAATGTTTGTTGCTTAATTGCATGTGCAACCGCAACTGATGTTGAAAATTTATGTGTCATTCATCCATCCTAATATTTCTTTCTTTCTCTCTCTCTATTTCTTTCTCTCTCTCTCTCTCTCTCTCTATCTCTCTTTCTCTCTTTCTCTCTCTCTACATCACCGTCAACTATCCAATCAGCGTGAGTTCTCCAAGCAAACCTGTCTAAAAGTTCTTTGCACTACAGGTAAGTGACCGATCATGAAAGTTAAAATAAATTTAAACGCATACGTACAAACCTACCATACATACAAAAATACACATACATACGGACACACATACTTACAAACACACACAGACATACATGCATGCCTACACACATACAAACACACACACACACATACATACATTCATATATAAAAAACACATAAATAACCAAAATTGGTGCATCAATCAAACACATTCACCAATTCATCCCGTCTCCCCTTATTTGTAATCTTTGGGCTAACGTGCAGAATATCATTCAGTGTGATTGCCAACTTTGTTTACTTATTTGCGTGTTTGTTTGTATGTTTTGTTTGTTTTGTTTGTATATATGATTATTTGTATGTTTGTATACAGAGAACAGAGGTTATTTTTGATTTTTTAACGTTTGTTTGTTTGTTTTTTGTTTGCGAATTTGTGTGTTATGTCTAGTTTGTTTGTATGTTTATTTGCATATTTGTATATAAAAAACAGAGAATATTTTAAACTTTACTATGTGTGTATGTGTATGTGTAGTGTGTACGTGTCAGTTCTGCTCTGCGTGTGTTTGAAGAGTCTGCGTACATTAATTACGCTATTTAACAAATGTATATGTATTTGGTTATATGCAAAAAATACACATGAGTGTGTCCGTTGTATAAATAGCATATTATGTGTTCCATGTTTCAATGTGAATATGAAGCATTAAACTTTTGAATACACCTTGATTATTGTATGTGTGTATGTGTTTGTGTCTGTTCGTATGCATGCGTTTACGTGTGTGTTCACGTGTGTGTGTGTTCACGTGTGTGTGCGTGCGTGTGTGTGTGTGTATGTATGTGTGTGTGTATATTTGTTCTGTTAATTAATAAATTGCTCTTTTCAGTTTTTATCCATCATAAATTCATCTATTTGTTTGTATGACATGTATTCCCTGGCTACCATACTCTACTATTTACTCTTGTACTCCCCCACAACTGATGGATTAAGGGATAGATAAATGACCGTCACCATCGTCATTATCATCACCATCGTTATAAACATTATCATCATCATCATCCTTATCATTATCATCGTAGACGTCATCTTCACAGTCATCATCATCATCATCATTATCATCATCATCATCGTCGTCGTCGTCATCATTATCAACTTTATCTTCGTCATGATCATCATCATCATTATCACGTGACTTACTTTAGTGTCATCCCAGAATAACTTGATCAGGTGACCTTTGAGAATGTCAAGGTCATCGTTGATGTGGGTCAAGGCCATGTTAACAGATGGCAGTATGCCGGCCGCACTAATTGTTGGCGGAGTGTTGGTTATTGGCAGTAATCCTGCAATGTATATGAAGCTGTTGTTGTTGTTGTTGTTTGTTTTGTTGTTGCTCGTTTTGCTGTTGCTGGTTCCTTTGCTATATGCCTTGTGGTTGTTGGTATTGCTGTTTTTCAAAGTTTTGATTTTTGTTATTTTTTTGTCGTTATTGTTGTTGTCGTTGTTTTTGGCGTCATAATAATAATCATAGTAGTCTGTATTATTTGTTTTGTTGTTGTTGTTGTTGTTGTTTTTAATGGCAGCCTGCTTGTTAGAAACCCTGTTGTTGTTGTTGCTAATTTTATTGTCGTTGTATTTTTTATTAAAGTTACTACTTTTGTTTATATTGTTTTTGTTGTTGTTGATGACGATTTTGTTGTTTATTTTATTTGTTTTTCGGTGATATTGATTATTATCATCTACATCAACATAAGAATTTTTGTCTTTGGCACCCTCTACAACGTCATCACCATCATCATCATCGTCTTCATCATCGTCTTCATCATCGTCTTCATCATCGTCATCGTCGTCATAACCGCTATTTACGTCATCATCGTCGTCATCATAGCTAGCTTTGTTTACATTTCCATCGCTTATTTTGTTTATATCATCTACGTCATCATCACTATCTTTATTTACATCATCATCATCATCATCGCCATCATCATCGTTTCCGGTTGTGACGTCATCACCGGTGTCAACGTAGGTATCGTAATAATCGTATTGTCGGTTAACTAATTGATCAGCATCCGGTTTTACCGAGTCGTTGAGAGGTATGCTATTATTGTTGTTGTTGCTTCGAATGTTGCGTTTTTTGTTGTTGCTGTTGTTGTTTATGTTGTTGATGACGTCATTGCTGTATTTCTTGATGCCACTTACGATGACCATCGTGTCATTGTCATTGTATTTGTTGTAATTAATGTTACAGGGGTTGTTTGGAGTATCGTTGTCGACGCAAAATTTGCCGTTGTTGTTGTTGCTTCTGCTGCTGCTGCTTTTGTGAGTGGTGGTGGTGTAGTTGTTGTAATTGTTGCTGTTGTAAGAGTTATTGTTGTCGATGTAACTGTTGTTGTTGTTGTTGTTGTTGTTGTTGTTGTTGTTGTTATGAAGATAATTGATGTTGTATCCGATATTTTTGTTGCTGATTTTGTGCGAATTGTTGTCGAAGTTGTAGATTTTGTCAGTTGTACGGTAGACATTGTTGTCGATAGTTTTGTTTGTCTGGGAGCTTTGTTGAATTCCATTGCAGCCTTTGTTCGTGCATGTGTTGCTGTTGTTGATGTTGTTGTTGATGTTGTGAATGTCGTTGATGCTGTGGTTGACTTGTTTATTGTTGTAAATGTTGTTGTCGAGGATTTTGTTGCTGTTGTGGTTGTTGTTGGTGTTTTTGCTGTTGTTTTTGTTGTTGCTGCTGTTCATGTTGTTGTTGATGTTGATAATGTTATTATTATTGTTGTTGTTTTTGTTGTTGATTTTGTTGTTGTTGTTGCTAATGTTATTATTATTGTTGTTGATGTTGCTAATGTTATTATTGTTGTCGTTGATTTTGTTGTTGCTGTTGTTTTTGTTTTTGTTGATTTTGTGGTTGTTGTTGATTTTGTTGTTGATGTTGTTTTTATGAAGATTATCCATTAGGTCATTGTTGCTTTTATTTGCCTCATTTGCGCTCTCTCGCTTAGAATGCTTGTTGTGATGATGACGATCTTTTTGATGATGATGATAATGATGATGAGGGCGCTTATAAT